AAGATTGTTATCATCACAGTTGTTACTACTGTGACTAACGTTTGGTGAATCGTGTTCGGCTTCGTCGTCCGATACCCGCTCACCATCTGTGTCACTGGTGGGAGAGCGACATGTCATGCATTGGTATTCAAGGGATGCATCCTCTGTGTACCGAGTGAACGTAGGGATGTCCATGTTTATACACGTTCTGTGGAGCCATGTTTCGCAGGTGTCGCATGCTATGGCTTGTTGATTTGACCTTACACTTTTCAGGCTTGTTCCACGGGGATATTTTACGGGTCCGGGGTTTATTTCTACATCCCCTGACACCAGGAGAGCTAGCAGATAAAACAGACGTAGATTGCCAGCTGGGCGGCACCATCTTTGTTCCTTTGTTGTAGTATAGGTATCGTTCACAGTTAAGAAGTGACGATTAACAATGTCAAATTTTACCCATTGGAGCAGTTCTGGACGGTTGTTCTCCATGTTAATATTGTAACTGTTGTCTAAACTATTAAAACTTGCTTGATGTTGCGGGGTACAAAATTTTAAAATGGTTAAAATCGAGAAAATGACTAGAGAACATGTAGCTTCTGTCGAGCCGGCCACCATGATTCGTCGTGTGCCAGAAGTCCGAAAATCGTCTAAAAAGATGGTCCCGGGATTGGGACAGGCAGGCACGCCCTGTGCACAAACAACAAGAATAAAAGAGGCTCGCATTTATTTATTTATAAAAATTGGAGATGGACAACAACACATGTTTTGTGTTGCAGGCTGCAGTGTGTTGGGCGCCAGTGCGATGGCTAAACCTGCATGAATATCAGAGCAAGCAGCTGATGATAGACCACAATGTGAACGTGCAACATTTCAGGTTGGCAGAGACTGGACAGGATGCAGATCGAATATCTAAGACCCTCAGTAAGTCTATATACTCATACATGGCATATAGAGGTGCTAGGCATCTAGACATCAAACAGACCGAGACACGTACATGTCTCTACATGTACATGTACATGTACATGTACTAGACAGGGTGGCATTTTATGAAATATGATTTATGCAGTTGGTTGATATAAGCTCTAGGCAGAGGTTTGTTATCACCAATTACCGGATGTTTCTGATACTGGAAACCAAAAATATACGGCCATCCTACGACCTGTAACCCATCAGTCAGACTACAACATTCCTAATTGTCTCGTAGAGACAAGGACACCCCCCAGAGATCACATGTAGTCTATTCTCCTACTGTCGCAGTCTTCCTCGACAGCTCACCCACTTGTCCTCATTTTAGGCATACATCACTGGTACAAAATATGTATTGTTGAGTGTCAGATTTTTTCGCAGCTGACTGTTTTTTCGTTGTGGCTATAAACGGTGTCTGAGGCCATAATTAAAAATACTTTTGTTTGCCCTCACCCGACCCAGGCTGAAAAGTTTGGGTAGGTAGGTAGGCTTTTTTGAGGGGGGTCTTTTTACAAATTCAGCATGGTGTCTACATACTCGGGTGTGCTTGTGTGGAGATACCTTTTATGTTGAATGTTTGCTTTGCTTGGTACATATAATGTATTGCCTACAGATTTATATAATGTACAGTGATACAATTTGTGAAAAAAAAGAATGGGAAAGATCTATAAATTTTTTTGAGTCGGCCCCTTTTTGGCGGGGTCGGTCGGGTGAGGTCAAAAAAACAATATTTTTATTATGGCCTGAGCGAGCGAGTATTCAGCTATATCTTTATGTTGTTTGTCATTTATGTTGTATAGATCTGCGTCAGTTAGACCTGGTACTGAATGCGGTTTGAGTGACTAGGTTTATATTACCTATATATATATGACGTGATGCACTAAATTGTAGAATCGCAGCCAGTTTAAATAATACCCAATAGACAAAAAAATGTTAGTGCTTATTGGATGTCGGCGTTTATTTTTGCAGAGGTAAAAGAATTTGTTATAAAGGCTCAAATTCTGGCTGGTGGTCGAGGCAAGGGAGTATTTAGTAATGGCATGAAAGGTGGCGTGAAGCTAACAAAAGAGTGAGTAATCATCTCTTATTGCTTTTTTGTACATTGAGTTAGAATTACATGCAGCAAATCGTCTACCTAACTATCTAAAGGAGTGTCTCCCAAGCTAAAGCTTTAGATTTTATCAAAAATATTAATATGTAAACAAATGAAGGATTAAGCTTCTGCTCTTACATAGTGACTTGGCAGTGGTGGTCCAGTGGCTAGCACACTTGAATCCGCGCTGAAATGTCTGCGGTTCGAGTCACACCGTAGCCACTGCGGTTCTGCCCTCGAGCCAGGCACTTTATCCCGATTTGCTTCAGCTGATACTGGCTGTAGAAAATGGGGTTATCATGTCGGTGTAAGGTTAACGACCCCATCCTCATAACTGAGAAAAGCTTTACTGGACAAAGCATCCTAGGGAAATCGATACAACACATCGGCTGAAGGCCTATGCTCCACAATTGGAGCGAAAAGACTAAAAATTACTTGTACTGATGAATCTTTCAGTCCTGAGGATGTCAAACCAATTGTGAAGAGGATGCTAGGTGAATATCTAAAAACGAAACAGACGACTGGGAATGGAGTTTTAGTTAGTAAGGTAAGCTCTGGCTTTGCTTTGATTATACCAATTTTGATTGACTGTACTAGGTATGTTTGAAAAAGCTCGCCCTTTGTAATTTTGGTGAGAGGGTGCTTGTGTTTCTATATATGCTTGTAAAGTATATTTTCCACACTTCAGGTGATGGTCGCAGAGGCTCTGGACATTGCGAAGGAGACGTACTTTGCAATTCTCCTTGACCGGGAGTCGGGTGGCCCAATGCTAGTTGGCAGCCCGGAAGGTGGAGTTGACATAGAGACTGTTGCCGAGGAAAAGCCACATTTGATATATAAGGTAAGGTTATCGCAATTAGGCCAGTCTAAAAGATAATTTCCTTGATGTAAGCAGATCGACCCAGTAAAAATAACTTATTTTTTCAAATTTTTTTGCTAGAATTTAATTTTTTTTAGGTATCACTGACACGGTAACCCGAATTGCTAAAATTACTGGCGAAATGTTTTTATATATTAGTAGAAATGTTTTTATACATGTTATATGGCATTGTGACATAAACCTACGCAAGTTAGAGTCTAAGCCGGTAAACGGAAGCGGATGGCCAGTTTTTATAGTAATCCGTTTGGAGTCCTTAGTTGAGTCCCGGAAAAAGCAGGTCATATGATAATGATCTAGAAGCAAAAAGTAGCTATGGGTTAGTAGATTAATTGGTGATAAATTCGAACCATGCCACAGAACGAAACATTTATGACGAATGACACAGTTACGAGAGGCTAAACTGTTGCACATTTGCTAATTGGCTGTTTTTAATGCTTATAAATCCACTCGTGAGCTTTGAAAATCTGCAATATTTTGGTTTGCATAACGTGACACGTTTTCCTGCTTTTGCTGTTAAATATTTTTTTTTATGAATGATAAATTATTTGTTGTTTACCTAGTGAACCTCTCAATTATAATGACATCGGTTATGGCAACAAGGCAATTTTCTAGACCTGCTTTATCTACACATTGATTCGTGTATCCCTCCAGTTTAATTTTACGTGATGTGTATAGATTGTAGGCCTTGAAATTGGTTCCTCAAGGAGCAGATGCTCTGCACTGCTCCATGAAGATTCAGCAGCTTGGTTTTTAATGCTATTAACATACAAAAGCAATCAGAGAGATAGCAAATTTCCGTCATAGCTTAACAGTCCCCCCATATGTCTATATATAGCTATCGATCTAATTTGTAGTCGGGTTTAAGGCGGCGGTGACACATCATAAACCCCTACAGAGAGAGAAAGCAAAAGCGAAACAAAGCGAAGTGGTTAGAGTGTAAACCGCTACACTACATCAATGATGAGAAATCCTTCAAAAAATTCCTGGATCCAGATGTGGATCCGGATCACCACCAATATCTAATCGATTGGTTCTTGGCCCAAGACAACCCGTCCAAAAATTTCATTAAAATCCGCCTGTAACTTTTTGAGATATCCTGTTGACAGACAAACAACAAACACACAAACACAAACGAACAGGGGCAAGAACATAACCTCCTTGGCGGAGGTAATAACAGTGATGAACGTATTCATAAGTTGTTCTCGTAGGTAGTCACATGTTAGCGTTTCACGTAGATATACGCGGCGCAAACAATTGTTGAACGTGCGCAGCGCTCTTGTAGGAACCCATCGACGTGTTTACGGGCATAACGACAAAGCAGGCGAACGACATGGCAACAAAGCTGGGCTTCACAGAGGAGAAAATACACATGCAGGCTGCTCATCAGATCATCAACCTCTACAACATGTTCATGCACGTCGACGCGACACAGATCGAGATAAACCCGTTTGGCGAGACCACAGATGGAAGAGGTAACTTTTACACTTGTCCCGATGCAATGTCACGTATTCAGGTTATTCGTCGTATTATTTTATTCCAATATTATTGTCTAATTAGTTAGGTTAGTTACTTATATCATTTAGTTGCCATATGCAATTAATAGCAACGTTGTGAAATTTTCAAGGAAAAGGGTTTTGCCTTGGGATATGATCCCTGGTGAGTTCATACATGTACGTGCATGCGTGTTTGTGCGCGTGCGCGTGCGTTTGTGCATGGGCACGTGCGCGTGCGTTTGTGCATGGGCACGTGCGCGTGTGCGTGTGTGTGTGTGTGCGTGCGTGCGTGTTTGTGCGCATGCGTGTGTGGATGTTAAGCGCATGCCTGAGTTTTTTATTAATGGTTACGTTGTCATGGCTACCCACAGTCGTCTGCTTCGACGCGAAGATCGCCTTCGACGACAACGCCGAATTCCGACAGCAGAGCATCTTTGAGCAGGGCGACACGGCCGAGGCCGATCCTCGTGAGGTCGAGGCGGCGAAGAGCAGCCTGAACTATATCGGTCTCGATGGCAACATCGGCTGCCTCGGTGGGTGCGAGATGCGTGCGCTGGAGCTTTGCAGCCCGCGCACCAGGGGCACCATGCCTCTCATTCCACCCACGATGATGCGGCCCCGGGGCACTATTGCCAGAAACATTAGAAGTAGTTACGACTTTGTAAGTCTAAATTGTCTTTACGATTGAAGTTGAGTTTCATGCAAAAGTTACGACATATTAGACTTATTGTAGTCGTATAATCAGGAGTCTATCAATAGATCAATTGATAGACTCCTGATATAACTGTTTATGATGTTCCTGGGATTAGTACGCTGGAGCACAACCCTCCATTCATGCGGTGTCAAACGCAGTCAGCATGTTAAAATTTCCTATGGATTAGAGATAATTGGCAGAGGCGAACCCAAATTTTGACATGCCGATGACATGTTAAAGATGCTTTCAGCTGTAATTGGCGTAATGTTAGACATCTGAGAACTTTCTCTTCATCGACTCTTGAGTGTTGGGAGTATCCTGGTTGGTTGTTTTAGGTGGGGTGGGTTGGTCGGTATGTGTGTGAAATTGGTTGCGATTCTTCATACATATTTGTAGGTCACATCTGTAGAATAAGCCGTTGAAAAAAAAAACGAACTTTAAAAAGAAATTTCACTAGGCATGACTTGAGTCGGTCATTGCTGCTGCCTGCTTCCAGTAAATGGTGCCGGCCTTGCCATGGCAACGATGGATATAATCAAGCTGTATGGAGGAGAGCCAGCAAACTTCCTCGACTGTGGTGGCAGCGTGCAGGAGGACCAGGTCTACGATGCGTTCAAGCTACTGACGTCAGATACGAGCGTAGGTTCTCTCACCCTCTAACATTTCTGCGTCTTACATTTGTAACAGGGCGTATGGGTGAGCACTATGTGGTCTGGTTTCATGGCGGTCGCTTTTGGGGATTCAGCAATGAATGTTCATGCCACGTTAAAAATGAACGACTAGCTTTAGACTTACAATGATTTCTTGTTAGGTACTATCTGATCCCTGTAATTGTGATGGTGGCAACACATTGTTGATAGCGTTGGTGATCGTACAGTAGTCTCTACTTTATCGGATCTCAGATGAACGGGGGCATCATTTAAACGACATACCTTTAAAAAACATTCGTTATGTGCATTATTTTGAATTGATAAAAGAGACAGGACCTCTATTAAATTGGACAGTTTCCGCAGAACAAACTTCATTATTAAGTGAACAATGTACAACGATCAAAGAGAACTGATAATTCTCAGCTTTTGGGCGGATTCCGAACATAATGAACTCACAAAACGTTTTTTAGAGGAACACCAAAGTGTGTTGTTTTGTACATATTGTACAGTGCATGCAGTGTACATACGATTGCCTGAGGTACAAGCAGGCATGCATGCGTGACTAGAAATATGTGTGCCGCTTAAAAACAGGACCACCGTTTCATGGGGACATTTCCAGTGTTCCTGCCCTGTCGTGATACAGCAGGTAGCTCTGTACTATAACCACATTATTTGCTCTAGCAGCAATTTGTCTCCTCACTGACAGACTCACGATTGTTTCAGGTCAAAGCGATACTCGTGAATATATTTGGAGGGATAGTCGACTGCACTGTGATAGCTCATGGTATCGCTAATACGTGCAAGTATCTGGACCTGAAGATTCCGATGGTTGTTCGATTAGAAGGTGAGAAGCCCCAACATTTAGTAGTTGTATGAATAGTTATTACTCTTCAGAGATATCACGTATCACGTCAGTAATTTTCAGAGTGTTTTCTAGAAGATTACATAGTCAATCGTTCTGCCTGTTGTTTTGTTTCTGCTCTAAAAACCATGCACTATCTATATCGCCCCATAAATTATTTGCTGGTTTGTGAGTAGTAATTGTGTGGCATTTCTTGGCAGGTAACAACGTTGACAAGGCCAGGGAGATTCTCAAAGGAAAGGGTCTGAACATCATTCCGGCTGATAATTTTGCTGAAGCTGCACAAAAAGTTGTAGCTAGTTTAAAATAGGACAAATAAATAACTTTATTACAGATGTGTGATTAATTATTGCCGGAAAGTGCAAATCAGTGTCAGTATAAAATGTAGTCTTCACAATCCCATATGACCCATCACATTAGAAAATGTCATTACAGAATATCTGTAAAATACTCAATCATGTCTGTAAGTAATTTAAATGTAAATACTATAGTAGATTGCAATGAGGATACGTAAATATGTGTGTCACTTGCATGTCATGATTATTTCACGTAACTAATTTTATGCTGTAGAACTGATTATGCACTTTCTAGTATAATTGGTAATAATAATTGTTATAGCTTGAATTTTCCTTGCTTTTAAGTCACCTGAATTTCAAATTAATGAAATATAGGTAGATTCACTTGTCCTCCACATAAGTAGTATGACAAAAGTTGGTGTGAAATATATATCGAGATACACTCGGTGCCTACGCTGTCGATGTGACCAGCGGGATTACTGGTGTGGGGATCAAATGTGTCACATATGATACTCGCGTAATCCTAGCTTTTTTGTGTAGTGTTCCAAGTTATTCCTCCGGCTCCATTTTGTTCCCTTTTGCACCCTTTCGTCGTGTGAATTCGTAGTTTCATTCCCGGTGACGTTGCCATTTATAGGCCTACATGACGAAGTCATGCAGTATTGAAAATGGACCATGCAGGTGTTAACAATAATAAATACATTAAGTTTGATTAAAACTGATTTATCAAATGTATTTTTTTGGCATTAATAACCATTACAATTTTTATTAAAAAATATATATATAATATTTAATGCATAATAATTAGTGCTTGCATGCATAGCAATAACATAAACTTATCTACACTATCATGAATATATCTATAGTATCAGGGGTGAATGTAATTATTCACTCAGGATAGCATCCCATTTATTGATTAGCATATCCATTTATAAGCTCCTGATAGCATGTATAAAATCTTTAATATGTCAGAAGCTACTTGTACCATAATTATTATCACTCATATTATTGTCCTTATATGATAGACTCCTGATATTATTAGCTCTTGAACATATTTATTCGTATACAAACGAGATATCTATCCATCTACACGCGCATTCCCTCACTCGCACGCGCGCACACACATGCTCGTTGTAGTAGCAGGAGTGAGTAAAAACGGCTGTTTTTTTTATACACTTTTGGTAATATAAATTTAGCAATGTACCTAGCCCGACCAGGCTGTGCGACGGATTGTCTATACAATTATATATATAATTGTAACCCTAGCAATACCGTTTCTTGGAGCTACAATGTACCATGATGTTATATACATATATCATGGTACTATATACATTAATTGGTGGAAATAATGATGAGTGATATTAAAAGAATTATATTTAAATGATTAGTGGAATTGAACTAAGAATTGTAAATAATCTAAGTTTAATTTTGTTATCTCATCGTATGTCACAGAAAGCAAAAAAAGAGAAAATGTTAAAGAGAAAAAAGAGAAGAGATTACTTGAATCGCTGATAGGGGGCACCACTGTATGTCATCAGCCGAGGTATCGCCGTATGTAATGTAAGGTCAAACGTTACATTTAGGTAGTCTATTAAAACCGTTTATTGTTGTTACTTTAAGAAAGATAGATTAATATATTCTCACATATTTCTAAACTAGAGTATGTGTACATACTGAATTATACGTGGCCTTTGCTATACATCCTATATTAATGTTATAAAATTTACACCTTTCGTGCGTGAATTACGAAAATTACTTGTTGGTCAACAAAATCTGCATAGATCGACAAGTAGTGCCCTAAACTAGAGTACATAACCCAACCCAGCATAGGGTGCACAACGCAGTGCACTATGTTTTTTGTGGAGGAAATTTCAGGGAACCCCTGAGTGAATTCACAGGCACTTGGACCGTTTCAATAAATAAAAGATGGTAATAAATTGTCAGGTAGCCACTATAGATACAATACATGTACCAACCAAGTAGGTTACAAAGTCTCTCCTATACCTTTTTGCGGAGAATCCCGAGTGAACTCTCACTCGGCATGGATTTGCTGGTGTATTTCAGAGACTAAACTTCCCAGAACTGGGTTATTCTCACACAAACCTTTCTCCGCTATCTGGGAACTTAACTTTGACAGAGTGGCTATATCGCCGGCAGCGGCATATATCTGACGGCTGCCGTGCACCGGGTCTTCGCTTTCCTAAATGCAAGCAGTTTTTAATTTTAGTGTTTCACTCAAGTAAACAAGGGTTAGGGTGTTAGTTTAGGCTTAGGGTTCGAGAGGGTTAGAGGCGTTAGGGTTAGGGTTACAGTTAGGGTTAGGAATGCCGGGCATTATTAGCGAAAACGAAGACCGTGCGGATGGGAGGCATATAGCCACAACGACTTTATGTATCGGCAACTACTCTGTATTAAACTAATATAAGCCGTGTTATAAAAATTACGACAGTGAACGAGCGGCGAATTACTGAGCCGCCATTTCTGTTGACCTGTGACGTACTTCGGTTTGAAGAGCGAGGATTCAACCGACCAACGGAGGGCGTTGCGTTTGCCGAATCGCTATTGCGCATTTGGGAAATGCGTACGTCACAGGTCAACAGAAATGGCGCTCAGTATATCGCCGCTCGTCACTTCGAATTTTATAACAAGGTTATATAGTTTAATACAGAGTATTGCGATACAAAGTAAGTTCCCAGATAGCGAGAAAGGTTTGTGTTGAGAATAAACCCAGTTGGAAGTTCTAGTCTCTGAAAATACACCAGCAAACCTGCCCAGTGATTTCACTCGGCAGTTCCATCCGCAAAAAGGTATAGGGAGACTTCTGTAACCCTACCTCTTGGGTTGGGGTTACATTATTGTATCAAGCCTAAAACTACTACAGTACCAGCAATAGTCTAATGTTTGATTTGACACTAATAACTTCACTTGCACACGTCCAATCCACTGCTGCAACCATTAGCCCGCACGCCATTGTGCAGCACAAATACACAGTAGGTTAGAGAGGTAAGAAAGCGTTTTCACAGAAATTCCAGAACGCTCCACTTTTGTCGCAGCACTAGACAAGAAATAAACGTCCAAACGCCAGCGATTTTGGCATCTGTGTGTAGCTGAATGATCACTTGTTCGAAATAACGTCTGTGCAACTTGGTACACATCTTTACCAGAATTATATGAGAAATCCTGCTCAAATTGCCGCAAATTTCCCATGAAGCCGATTTGTGAACCGGACAAGTACATGAGGCAATGGCGGCGCATTGCATTCTGGAGCAAATTGCAGTAGAATTGCTCCCAGAATGCAATGCAGCCGCCATTGCTCATGTACTTGTCCGGTTTACAAATCGGCTTCATGGGAAATTTGCGCAAATTTGAGCAGGATTTCTCATATAATTCTGGCTAAAGTATGTGGTACAAGTTGCAAGACTATATTTCGAACACAAGTGATCATTCAGCTACACACAGATGCCAAATCATGCGTTTGGACGTTTTTCTTGTCTAGTGCTGCGACAAAAGTGAGGCGTTCTGGAATTTCTGTAAAACGCTTTCTTACCTTCTCTAACGCTACTGTGTATTTGTGCATGCACAATGGCGTGCGGGCTATGTGTTGCAGCGGTGTATTGAACGGTGTTGAAGTGAAGTTATTAGGTCAAATCAAACATTAAGACTAATTGGCTGGTACTATAGTACTAGTAGTAGGCTACTGACAAGTTGTATTTATTAACCATCATTTTATTATTGAAACGTGTCCAAGTGCCTGTGGAGTGAATCAAATCAGGGCGGTTTGCTGTGGCGTTTTCAGAGACTAGAACTTCCAAACTGGGTTATTCTCAAACGAACGCTTTCTCCGGCATATTGGAACTTACTATGTATCCCTATACTCTGTATTAAACTAATATACCTGTTACAAAAATTCGAGTGACGAGCGGAGATATTTTGAGCCCATTTCTGTTGACCTGTGACGTTACGCATTCCCAATGGGCATAGCGACTCGGCAAACGCCAGCGCCCTCCGATTGTCGGTGAATCCGCTCTTAAAAACCGAAGTACGTCACAGGTCAACAGAAAGGCGCTCATGTATACGCCGGTCGTCACTTCGAATTTTGTAACAAGTTATAGTAGTTTTTACAGAGTATTGTGATTCATAGTAATTCCAAGATAGCGGAGAAAGGTTCGTGTTGAGAATAAACCCAGTTTGGAAAGTTTCAGTCTCTGAAAGCACCAGCAAACTGCCCTGAGTGATTCACTCAGGGCAGCCCTCGACCTAACGGTTGTCCGATTGCCCGGGACAATGAATGTCTATGTCGGACAAGTTATCTCTGCCTAAGTTGCCCGATCGGACATACAACTCCGAAACAGCGTTCTCGTTGTTTAATATTCATTCACACAGCGCTCGGAAGGCCAGGGCGCTATCGGGCATCCAACATGCCCAGCCTCTTCCAAACGCTATTCTTCAACGAGGTCTGCCCTATAAAAAGCAGGCCGGCGAGACACACCACCTGTTACCAATACAGATTTATCAGAGGCGGCAGCGCGTACCTCCCTGCTGGGCGGCATTGATTTATGTACTGCGGGGGGTACGATTGTTTATAATCGGTGGGCATATTCATTAACTGAAGTATGTAGGGGGTGGGCCATCGGCTGGATGAGAGAATGACAGCAAAACGGCTCTTCCCTTGTGATTGAGGAAAAACGCTGCAATCGGTATGAGCACACAATGGGCCTGCCAGCATGGCCAAACATAAACTGTGAATTTCATTACGATTTTAACATGTACTGTATTTCTCCGTGGTATAAGTATAGATTCATGTATATATAAGTCTCACCCATATTTTATGGCATTGAAAAATTGGTAACAAACTTGGTAACATTAACAGAATTTCTTAGCCTCGTATAAGTCACACCCCGTGATTGTTTTTTAATTGAAGTTGTGTACAAAAAGCGCGTGTTATACCACAAGTAAATAGCAGGTAATATTATACGTAAACTGTGTAAGTACCACACGCAACGCCACGCATGCAACGCGTGTGCACATGCCCAGGTTATGTGCGAGCCTATAGTATGCCACGCAGGGAATACTGGCAAAAAATGTCAGGAGTTGTCCAATAATAATCTTATATAATATATATATATATATATATATAATATTATTGTATATTATATGTATATGTATCATTTATATAATATAAGATAATAATCTATATATTTATACACTCCGATAATATAGATATGCCACTGAACTAAAAGAGGACATAACTGGCTGTTCACATGGCACATAGTAAATTTTGGACACACGTAAAATCAAAATTCGACAACGTAAAAATTGCTTCTTGTTGCCCGACAGAGACAACCAGAGAGTCTGAAAATACAGCGTCGAGGCCTGAGGGCTTCCCTGAAGTTTCCTGCCGCACAGAAAACCATAGCGACGGCGTTGTAACCCTTCCTGGTTGGTTACATTATTGTAATCGTAGGCCCCTACATGATATTTCCTGTTTCAATTTCATCAAATAATCACTATATACCAGCATTACACAGGAAGCGAAGGTATGCATGTAGCTATCGTTTACGTGAATGAAATTTGCATAGATACGGCACTAATAAATCATTTACTACTACTACTAGTACTAGTAGTAGTATTGTCTATTGTCATTGATATTAAAAAAAGATTGATCCAAAAATTGTACATATCTGGCACCAATCACTGAATCAGGAGGTTTTGTTTACATTTTGCAATCGAGAAAATGGTGCAGGTACGTCTATGCTAAGAAATAAATCTAAAGGTCAAAGCATACTCCAGTGTATTATACTGTAATGGTTCTGAATCCTAAATCTGTAATCATTCGGATACTGTACTGACAAACAACCAATCATAATGTCAAGCATCACAATCGAAGCGACCCGCTCTACATCTACATCTACATCTATATGATTACGTCGATCTGTCACTCTTGACAATACGTGGTACTGCAAGTTTCCGGGGGGCCCCCACCCCCCCCCCCCCGGAAGATAAAAGAAATTTACAAATAAGAATTTACAATGACCAAGAATAATAAAGTAAGGTAAAAAGATTAAAAAATAAAGTGGAGGAGTTGACCCATTTGCTTTTTTGGGGTCATCTAGCCAATACCAATGCTCAATCACAATGAAGGGGTTAAAGTGATTATGTCTGATGTTGGGATAAAGTTTTTCTCTTTTCCGACTACACAATGGAAGACAGCCTAAGTTTGTCAACTTGAAAAGGTTGAATGTTACTTGAGTTTATACTTGATTTTGAGGTCCTGTGTTAAAGATAGCCAAATCTTTTCTTTCCAACTAGGTATCCTTGAACAATAAATGTCTAAGTTCTTAAAAAAACTGAATTTTCTTGAACACATAAAATGGACTGTTTGTCAGATGCTATACTAGTCCAAAGACAGCTGAGCAGCCCAATTTGCATTACAAATTGTTTTGGCACATGCCAGTGAAAGCGTCTACAGGGGTCGAAATTAGCGGTATCCCGATATTCGCGTGATAGTAGATTCTTGTGTTGAATACCAGATTTCAATGCTTGGTATCCCGACGGGATAGTTAAAAAAAAATCGTCAAAATCGGGATAGAGGTTGTTGAGCATATTTGCAAGCGCGATTATTGATCTATATTGATCATAAATGTGATGTGTATACATTGTATCAAGCAAACCAGACAATGCGTCTAGACAATACGTCTGCAGTGTACTTGTCTGTGCATATCTGTGAATCTGTTTTCATGTTTATATATAATAATTACATTACATATTAATAATTTTGAAATGCTATTATTGCATATTTCAAGATTTTGGATACCCAACATTGTTGGAATTACTATCCAAAAAATGGGATACCAGATCTTTGGGGGGGATACCAGATTTCAATACCTGGTATCCCGAATGGATACCATAATAAAAATCTAATTTCGACCCATGGTCTATGGCTATGATTGGCTATTTATTAAATGTATAGCGACTATATCACTGGAGATTAAAATGAATTTAGATGTTTCTGTCATTATGTTTATTGCCAGAAACATTTTGCACAATCTCAACTGGCATGAAACATAACTGTTTGCTATTTTGCTGCAGTATGTCTTGATCTTAATTAGAAATAACACAAAATATAGTAAGTAACCTTGGTTATCAAAACAGAATGCTGGTAAGACGAGGTTACCAACAACTCAAATTTTGTATTCTGTACTACTTGCGAGGTTGTAAAATTATAACGTAAATTGACACAAAATGCATACAGCTGTACTTGATTGGACCAGCGCAAGTGATTACTTATTGTTTTCCAGTCAGCCATGCCATATTTGAAGACCCCTCTCACTGACGTCACCGGTCACTTGTTCAACGCGCAGGGCACAAAATGTGAAGATTTTGAGTTGAATTTCTATCAGTGCACAACAGCATACGGACTGCACAAACAAGCTCAGCATAAATGTAAACTGGAAATGGAAGATTTTGTCGAATGCATGACAAAGGCAAAGAAGGTATGTGTGTATTACTGTCCCGTAATATTATCGAAAGTATTGTTTCTGGGCTAGATCAATGCAAATGTAGATTATCTTTGGACATTGCTTCACACATGTGATGCGTCATTGGTTACGTATAATACTTGGTTTGGGAAAATTAAACATGAATTCTTGGTCCAGTTTCGTAAGATGCAAAACCAGTGAAGAAGAAGCCAGCAATCTTTATTTGTGTAATGTGAGTTTATATGCAGAACGACACACAGGTTTAATTGCCAGATGTTTTGCACAGCTGTTCTTGCATAAATCAAATTTTTTATCCATGTTTTATGGCAGTGCGGAATGCCACACCGCTGTGTCAGGAAGTGCAAATGGATCGTTTGTGACACTATCGGACAGTGATAATGAGATGAGCCTCTGTTGCAGAACGAGAGAATGAAGGAGATGAGGCGAGAACGCAACAGGCAGTACTATGCTGGAGAGAGGACACAGAGGTACATGGATCCACCACCGAAGGACCTCTGAGCACGCTGCCCTGGCATGCCCCGTATCACGCTGGTACCTGGTTTTGCCATGCACTACTAAATGCTGCATCTAGCTCGTCTTCTAGCAATTACCACTTATTAGATCCATGAAGTCGGTTGACATGATAGCGCTATGTTGTTGTAATCATTTGGTTTGCTTTCTCGAATGAGTGTAATAGTTGTCAGTTACAGTTTCTGAATTATCTTACCCACACCTGCATGGTGTATGGTATCGGGAAAACCTAACACCCGGTAGATATGTGCTGTATGGTTAGATCTGCTAATGACGCTAACGTTGCAAAAAATGCCTGGTGCAGTGTGTGTTGAGTGATTTAGCTGAGGTTATCTTGTACTGATTTTATGTAAACCCGTTCCTAATATATTACTGTGGTGAGACTCAAAGATGGCTTCATTATGCATTTTCTTGGTATGACATATATACCGTTTAAAATGCAAGTTGGTGTGCACATTGTTTTGTCAGATTTTCCTATTACATACAGACTTCTAAGATCCCTGCCACAAGGTTAAAACAGTGACTGACAGACTGAATCTATCTACATATAAATCATGAATGTGTGATAATTAGCATTTAATATAAATCACAATCACGCTGCAAAATAATAGCAAGCACCATTTACTATAATGAGGCAAAACAAGTGCCTGGGGAGCCACTTGTAGATGTCACCAGCAAACCAGCTACGATGTTTACTGTTACCATAGCAACAGACAGTTCTAAATCTGATACCATGAGCAGCATGAAAGATGGTGCAGGTCAAAGCAATTTTCAGCCAGACAAAGCTTATTCATTTGAAAAGGCACGGCGCGCTCTTATGAAGAAGCTGACGTGCGACTCAAAGTTGCCACAGTGTCCCAACACGGCAATACCAAGGCAGCGCACACGCACTGAAACAGTCGAGCAACGGTCAGGCAGAGGCAGTTCTGTATGCATGACCCCTTACCTGCAGAATTTGAGCTTGCTAGACGTGTACAGGGTTGCACAGCGGCCCGTCTGGAGTCCTTACAGGAGTACGATGCAAAGCAAGGCGATGATCAGCCAGCGTGGACAATCGCGTATGTATTATTCATCCCCGTCTCGCATCAATCCATGGTGGTTGTAGAGCTACATCAATTTACTGTACCCAGTTGTTTGTGCACAGGTCTACAGGGAGCTGCTAGCAAGCCGTCGGTCTACCTGGTAACATTTATTCTGCATTATTGCATTTATATGCCAATCAGATTTTCGTGAAATCGCGTGCAATGTGAAGTTTTAATCGTTGACGGCGCCGCGCCTCGTTTTATTGTTACCGTTTCGTTTTGCTCGTGACATTGTCATATAATGTGCTCTACTACGTGACATGATGTAGGGGAAGGAATGTTGGTAAAATTGTGGTTATCAAGGTTAACGATGTTTACTAGGTCATGGAGGAGATATCGGGAGAGACGATGGAAGACTGCCCTCACCACTGGACCCTCCCTGGTTGGCAACAGAGGTGACCAACGTTGTGCAGGACATCATAAGTAAATATCGGTAAGTTTATGGCCAAGGAACACAAATGCGCAGTTGTAATTAATCTTAGATGTAATTTAGCCATTAACCAGACAAACAAGTTTACAACATCAGGAGTGAATAAAAACAACAGTTTTTATTAACTCCTGATGACATGGTATCAAATTTTTAGTAATATTACTTCTCTCTTACTATTTTCACAAATTTACATCTCATTGATCTAGTATCTCTATATTATGACGCTCCTGATAATGTATCCCTGCAGACAAAATCCCAGCAAACCTGTGTGTAAACCTGTTGGACACACATTTACTGAATGTCCCAATAGCTGGTGACAGAGATGGATGCATGCACCTTGAATTTGAAAATGTGAATGCAATTGAACATAACAAAACTAATTAACGGCCAACACACCCGTGGCGCAGATGCTTCTTCTTTGTAATGAATAAAGCATTAATGAATATAAATGATTTACTATCGGGCGCTAATCTACAGTACACCCTATACTGTAATGGCGTGATTAGTAGCCTGATTACATACATAAAACCTATGCCGCTTGGCAACTTACTAACCATATGCATAGGAGTTCTTAAGTAAGTGTGCCTGGGCTTGCGGTGCCTTGCTGCACACATGCACTATAGCAGCCTCTACATAAGCGAGCATTAGTCAAAATTAATCAGGCTATTGAGTGCACCGGTGTAGGCACCTTAATGAAAAATGAATGAGCCAAACTATTAACTATTACCAAGCGCCCATTAAAATTCAGGGGAGGGGTAGTTGCGAACGACGGTCCACATTCGTGTTATGTCAGTTTACGCTCTCGATCATTTGTCCCGACCTACAAAGCAGAGCGAGCAAACGCACAAAACATTATGAAGGAGTTATCGAGCCAGGACTTGTCAACCTCACCCTTGACTGCAGCCTCATTGGCGGTGCTTTCTTGTAGGTATGCACATCCGCTTGTGATCTTGGAACCCCCGTCTGGCAGAAAATCGCTCCCCCCTCTCGAGGCATTCTGCCGTTTGATTATCGTGAGAGCACACCTCTGTTTGCATAGTGGAGTAGGTCTGATGTGACGCGGGATTGAGATCTGAGCGATGAGGCTCAACCTGCTGCCTGATCAACTGAATAAATGACTGACTGATTATCTGGACCAACCAACAAAACACCCAAATTACCGACTGCCAAAACAGCCAACTAACTGACCGACAGAACACCCAACTAGCCGATTGACCGACAGCCCGCCTGGCAGAGATGCATAGCTGTGTGGTCGTCGTAGATTGTTGATGCTGCTGCTGTCAGGATGATTAATCTTCCAGTGCTGGACTCGCTCTCCGTGCCCAGCACGCCGGCTAGACGGTGCTCGCTGAGCCAGCACTCGCCCACGCGCTCGCTGAAGGAGGAGCCGGTCACTTGGAGAAGGTGAGAGAGTGGCTGCTGTACACGCTAGTGAGCCAACGCTGCGCGCAGTGAGGGCGGTGATGACTTCCGATGTCACATTTGGTGCACCCGTGTCATGGCGCCAATACATGGCGTGGTGCCAATACGTGGAATGGTGCCACGGATCTCTCTGTTCTCTTTCAGGCTGTCTCAAGAGGTAAAATATAGAATGTTGTTTCCACCGGTGTCACACGACCTGTGAGTGGTGACTGTCATTCATTACTCCATCTCGTCATCACACGACCTTTGACTCATCTCCCCATCTCATCCACATTGAATCGCGAAGCCATAATCTACTCTCCTGCGTCGTTGTCTTGCAGGTCGCAGGTGAAACCGCTGCGGGTGCGGCAGATTCCCAGCCGACTCAAGCTAGAGCATGTCTTCCCGGACCGGCAGTCAGGAATATTCCCCGCTTCCAGGCTGCCGTGGGGACCGTCAACGCTGACGGGTGCACGCAGCAGCAACCTACCTCTCATATCGATCAGCAGTGCAGGTATGTCAGCGCGTGCGCGTTTCCGCGCGACCTCTCTACGCACGAAATTCAGATTTTTTTGCACTGGCCCAGAGGGCTGGGAACGGTAATTTTTACCAGCCCTCACCATAATTTACCAGCCCTCATAAATTTGTTTGTAAAATCAATATCATGTTTCATGCTTGCATTCTCGATTTCAAATTTGTAAAATGTTAATAAGTTATGCCGTGATATCCTTCAGGTAAAACAGTAATGTAGCCTATTTGCTATAAATAATGTAGGCTATAAATAAAAATGTAGGTACTCGCTAACACGGCTGAAACCACCGGCTCGGAGGGCCGGTGTTTTGCCAATGTTACCGGCCCTCCAAATAATTTGCCGGCATACGCCGGTGGGCTGGTGTTAATTTTGTGCCCTGTGCGTGCGAGGCAAAGCGGGGATAGTTTGGACCTGAAATTCATATATTATTTTTCGTGAGGGAGTGTCGGGGAGCGTACAACACTTAGCAGCTTAGTGGGGCTCTATGTCCGCACAGGAATTTTATTCTAAAACTTATTCACTTGAACAATGCACCGATCATTCGAGCTAGAGTGGGATCTACGTGACGTGAAAGGATACTTTAGGTATAAATAGGTGATCGGTGTACATAGCGCATTGGATTTCTTTTTTTGGGCCTCAGAGGCCCTCTAAACAGGTTCTGGGAGCAGGAAGCATCAATGCACGAATCACCAAAACATTCCATGCTGGCCTTGGATCGGACTTTTTTTTGTCTATATTAATCTAGTGTCAGATGTTACTATGGCATGGACGTGCACGGCGAGAGACACGGTTGACTGTAGATCATGTAGATCTGTAGAAAGTACATATTACCAGCCAGATATTACCATTGCCTCCATTATAATGTGGTATTGTGCTTGCTGCACTGTTATACGAACGATCTACTAGTTTCACGTTAGTGGTGCTATAATACCTTCCTAAAGCTGTAATGCAGAAAATGCTATGTACAATCACTATAGCTCGTAGAAGCATGAAGCGTGGTACATAGGCAAGCAGTGAATCATACAGGCTGCCAGTGAATCATGCAATGCAGTTTTGCCATGTAGAAGGAAACAGTGGCGCTCAGAAGAAATATTACAATTAGTGGGGCTCATAGGGTCTATGTCCCCCAGAGTACTGCCGGAACATACCCTGGTAACTATCTGATATGGTTAGGGTTAGGGTTAGGGAGTAAGCGTAGGCGACTCTCTAGACTCGTTAGTGGAGTAGGCGAGGTATGGTCGGGCATATTAGATAGTACCAGGGTATACGTATACGTATACGTTCCGGCAGTACCCTGGGGGACATAGACCCTCTCAGCATTAGTGGGAGGCACTTTAGCCTTGGCAGTTGTGCCACATTAATATATATATATATATATATATATATATTCAGTGGCGGATCCAGAAGTGAATTCTAGGGGGGTGGGGGCGAATCATGCGAGCTCAAAGGCACGAAGCGCCCGAGGGGGGAGGGTGTTAGGCTACATTACCCTTGCCCTGAAAATTATAGGTGGGGGGCACCGCCCCCTGTGCCCCCTGGATCGGCCACTGATTATTGGTTTGGATGTAACTGAATCGTTATTTCTTCTTTTTCTTTGAAAGATGTTCAGGATTATCGTCACTCTGCGTTGCGTTCCATTGGTGGGGAAGCTGTGAACGACAGCACGTCGCAACAAGAGACGCCTGGCTCGGTAGATGCACACAACAGGATTTGCGCAAACATCTTGCCTCGGGGCAATATCAATCTCAGGAACGCCAGGTTGAAAGTGGGTTGGTATCCGATCGGTGGCACCCTCTGCGTTCGATGTCTTATGCTTTATTATTCAGTTGTATATAAACCTTGTTGATGAAGTGCTGTGCTCGTATGGTACTATTGTGTAACTGTAAATATCGAAATGTCGTCGTGTAAGTATCGTAAATATCGTGTTTTTTATGCCAACCTAGAGAGACTTGGCTCTTTTCTAGACATGTCCCAGGAACCTTGGCTGAACGTCGTGTCGTCTGCAGTGACCCGTAACACTCAGAAATCGCTCGACGGTAGAGAGCGTGGGAGGCAGAGGAAGGCCAGGCCCAAATCTGACAAGGAGGGTACGTACAGGGCCGTAAGCTGAGCAAATTCCTAGGGGGTCAGTGGTGGATCCAGGATTTTAAGGAAGGGGTGAGAAACAGGTGGGGGGGGTCTGAGGATTAAAATTTTGAAAATGTAGATAGCAGGAGATTGTATTTGAGGCACTCTTGAGTACATGTACAGCCTTCATTCTGACTACGACAATTCTCTTTTAGTATAACAATTTAACGCTGGAGCAAACGAGGGAACAAGAGTCAGTCAGAAAGACGGCCAAGTTCTCTCGAGCTTGATGATGATGATGATAATGAACTGGTGCTGCTACTGCTGCTGCTGATGGTGATGATAGGGATCCTAATATTGTTGCTGTATATATATAACAAAATCTTTACGTTTGCAGATTGGCCGTATGTAGATCCCATGGACCATGCACCGCTCGGCTTCCGACTGCGACTTCAGGTGCTAGCAGCTCTGGAATCGGACACGATACGATGGGAGCGGGGAAATAAGATTGGCAAGAAGTGGAAATAGCTAATGTAGCTATATACAACTTACCATACATGCATGTAAATCTTATCTGTAATTTACATATGTAGCAAATGGCAGCGTGATTTACAATAATTGGCTAAAAAGGATAACCTCGCTTCATGCATATGTACACAGAAATTTATTGTGTCTGATATAGGGTGTTAATTAATACGAATGTAGCATGCAATGACAAGCATGCAGTATATCATTGTATAAATGAACTGTATATTGTTTTGAGGAAAATTGTAATACTGGTATAATTCATCTGTGATTTTTATTAATCACTTTCAAATGTAAATAATGTATCATTACTAATTAGTGTAATCATAATGTCAATGAAAACAGTAGTATATGCATTTGTTTCTATATGCTTTGCTATATACCACTAGACATGAAGCCACATAGTTAAAATTGAATATGCAAGAAGTGTCTGCAAAAGGCATAGCTACTTAATATGCAGGGAGATATAGCAGAAATTTGTAAATAATATGTGCAAAATATAGACTGTTTTATTATTGCATTTCTGCCTTTCCTGTTTTCACTTCTTAACATGTCATTATTTATTACGAGATAATTAAATTGATAACCTTTTTTTGTACCTATAAGTCTTCACGATATTATGATAACAAGTTTCTATTTTATTATAATCGTAAATAGGAACATTCATATCGTTATCATATCGTATCGTATCACACATATAATCGTTCTTGATAGTGGCCTATATAAGCAGTCACATGTAGCAGAATCGCGCGCGAATGACTTTCGAGCACGTAGCGCTACCTGGTGTTAAGAAACGTGCTGTATGGATAAATCAAATGAAAGCAGAAAGTTGTAGTAATGGCTGCTGAAGTTTCTCCGGTATCGACTCCGACCAAAAAAACCACAGATAACTTTGTGAAAAGTATCGTTTTGACAGGAACAGGTGGGTACGACAAACTACAGATTAAATATGGACCGAAACCAGTCCCGAAAGCAGGCGAACTTATTGTCAGAGTTAAAGCATGTGGCCTGAATTTTGCGGAACTCGGTGTGCGGCAAGGACTCTACGATCGGCCAATAAAGCCACCTTGCGTTCTCGGGTTAGAAGCTTCGGGAATTGTAGAGGAACTGGGCGAAGGCGTGTCGGAGTTCAAGGTACGTATATGCCGTCATCTGCGTTATGTGCGTTGACAATTTACGTATGCGCACGCTGTATTTGCATTTTCCCTGGTGGTTTTTGCCGCACTGCCGGTTTCTGTCGTATCGCTGAATGCCGACTCGTAACTGAGTGTGTGACATGCGAGCGCACCCCGCCCTAGATACAATAATGTAACCCAAACACAGGATAGGGTGTTCGTGTAACCCTATCCTGTGTTTGGGTTACATTATTGTATCTAACCCCGCTCGTGCGTGAAAAAGTACAAGAGATACTAACCCGACCAGGCTGTGTGACTAACGTCAATATGCAAGGTCTCCTAACCCTAGCAAAGACCGTTTCTTGGAGCTAAAGAAATTAATACATGTTGCGTACATGCATGCAAATGTAGTACATGTTACAAGAAATACCCGTACGTGAATTACATATTTAAAACATGTTATTTTTTCCATATTGTTGTTTCATCATGTTTCCTGTTACCCTTTATTATTATTATTATGACATAGTATAGTTATGGAATACCGATATTGACTCACTGATACTTTCGCTGAGAGGGTCTATGTCCCTCAGGGTACTGCCGGAACGTACCCTGCATGGGTACGGTCCGGTATACCAGAACGTACCCTGGTACTATCTAACAGTAATATGCTGGACCGTACCTCGCCTACTCCACTAACGAGTCTATGGAGTCGCCTAGCTATGCCTACTCCCTATAACCCTAACCCTACAGGGGTCGAAATTAGATTTTTATTATGGTATCCATTCGGGATACCAGGTATTGAAATCTGGTATCCCCCCCCCCCCCAAAGATCTGGTATCCCATTTTTAGCTCATCTGACGTAGTCAGGTGCAGCTTGTAGAATCGCATGATCGTCCGTCTGTGCGTTCGTCCGATTGTCCGGCCGTTCGTGCGTCCGTCAACAGTTGGGCACAAATCTAAACGGCTCGACGTACGGATTTGAAAGTCGGGACGTGGGGGGGTAATCCGAAAACGAGTTGGGA